GGACGGCGCGGCGGGGTCCGAGGGTGACCCGGCGAGCAAGGACTACAACCAGCTGCAGGCGTACTACAGCCAGGAGAGCCGCGTGCTGTACCTGGTGCTCACCTCCATCTGCGACACGCCGCAGCTGCTCCGCGCCTGCGGGGACCTCACCGCGGCCGAGAACAGGGAGGCTGGGCCCGGACACCCCTCGGGAGGCCCGGCCCCGCTGCCCCACGCCGAGGCCCACGAGTTCTGGAAGCACCAGGAGAAGCTGCACTGCCTGAGCCTCCTCTACCTGTTCTCCGTGTGCCACATCCTGCTGCTGGTGCATCCCACCTGCTCCTTCGACATCACCTACGACCGCGTGTTCAGGGCGCTGGACGGGCTGCGGCAGAAGGTGCTGCCCTCCCTCAAGGCTGCCATCAAGGACTGCCCGGTGGGCAAGGAGTGGAAGCTCAACTGCAGGCCGTGCCCTCCGCGCCTCCTCTTCCTCTTCCAGCTCAACGGGGCTCTGAAGGTGGATCCCCTCCCCAGCAGGGGCCAGGACCCCTGCAGTCACCTGGAAAAGCCACCCCCCAAAAAGCACTCCCCCAAGAGGAGGCTGCAGCACGCTCTGGAGGATCAGATCTACCGCATCTTCCGCAAGAGCAGGGTGCTCACCAACCAGAGCATCAACTGCCTGTTCACCGTGCCTGCCAACCAGGCTTTCGTGTACATCGTGGCTGGGGGGCCCCAGGATGGAGATGACCCGGTGGCCATGCTTCTCGACCAGCTCAGGAGCAACTGCACCATGAGGGAGACCGACTCGCTGCTGACTCCCACGCTGTCGGGGCCCAGGAGGTACCAGATGATGCGGCACGGCCGGCAGCAGCTCTCCTTCCACGCAGAGAGCAGCAGCTCCAGCTCCAGCTCCTCTGGGCAGCTCGTGGACTGCACCCTCAAGGAGTTCTTGTGGCAGCACGTGGAGCTGGTGCTCAGCAAGAAGGGCTTCGATGACAGCGTGGGGAGGAACCCGCAGCCCTCGCACTTCGAGCTCCCGACCTACCAGAAGTGGGTCGCTGCAGCTTTGAAACTGTACGAGGTGACCATCGAGGGCAAAGACGACGACCCGACCTCTGGGGAGCTGAGCTCCAAGATCATGAGCAGCATCAAAGTCTTGGAAGGCTATTTAGACATAGACACCAAGTTCTCAGAAAACCGTTGCCAGAAGGCTCTGCCCATGGCCCACAGCGCCTACCAGTCCAACCTGCCCCACAATTACACCATGACGGTGCACAAGAACCAGCTGGCCCAGGCTCTGCGGGTGTACAGCCAGCACGCCCGGGGCCCGGCCTTCCACAAGTACGCCATGCAGCTCAACGAGGACTGCTACAAGTTCTGGAGCAACGGGCACCAGCTCTGCGAGGAGCGGAGCCTGACGGACCAGCACTGCGTGCACAAGTTCCATCTGCTCCCAAAAGCAGGTAGAGATGCTCACTTGTGGTTGGGTTTCGTGGTTTAGTTCTGTATCTGCTTTAAAAAGGCTGAAACACCGACTCTGGCACGTTAAGGAAGGTGGAAGTTTGTAGCTTGCATGTGGCACTGAGTGCTCTGGTCTGGTTGCAAGGTGGTGATGGGACAAAGGTTGGACTCAGTGATCTCAGAGGTCTTTTCCAACCTCAGTGATTCCGTGATCATCTTTGTACAGTGGGATTATAGCAGAGCTGTTGTGTAGGTTTCCCTTATGTTGAATAATGCTTGGGAGCCAAACATTAGGAAATTAATGACGTTTGGGAGCCATACAGTCCACTGTCAGTGGTAACTTTGATTTTAGTAGTAACTAATTTTAGCAACTCTAAATTAGTGGTCACTCTAGTTTTAGTAACTCTAATTTTAGTGGTCACTCTGATTTTGTCTTGCTAATTAGAAGCATCACACTGAAGTCCTTCTAATAAGAGGTGTGTAAGAGAACAAACTTTCTCTAGGAAGCAGTAAGTGCCTCCCTTTGTTTTAAATAACTTGGTTGATGGCAATCAAGGAGTCAAACTGTCTGATGTGTGTTTATTGCAGGCAGAAGAACTTTGAGCCTTTTAGGAAGAAGTTGTAAAAACAAGATTCAGTTTAGTGGTATAACCTCCACTGGAACTTTGTGTTAAAAGGGGGAAAGGGAGGAATTGCTCGACAAACTGCTGGCAAATCATTTTGTGTGTGTGTATTAACCAGGAGGAAGCAGAGGGTGAAGGGAATTAATCTCTAGAAATGGTGAGCAATCTACCCAGGGTTTGATTGATTTTTTGCTTTTAGGGGAAAAGCCAGAAGCAGACAGAAATCCTCCCATCCTGTACCACAACAGCCGGGCTCGTTCCACTGGGGCCTGTAACTGTGGAAGGAAACAAGCTCCTCGGGAGGACCCCTTTGATATCAAAGCAGCTAATTATGACTTTTACCAGGTAACTGTAGGTCTGTTGTTGCTTTTGTTTCATCAGCAGAGTCTGTATTCTGAAGAGACCACGAGTTTCCTCTTAACCTTATCACCTTGTTGCTTGGGGTAGATGTTTCTGGGAGCAGAAATTGTCTGAGCAGAGTGGGCAGTTCCAGTCCTCACCAGTGCACACACACAGGAGCACCTGTTTACACACCTATTTACACTTTGAGTGTGTTGTTTCACATGGATTTTAAATAATCAGGTCTGTGGGCCACGTACCTGTCACTGGTTTGGTTCTCACATAGCTCAAACCTCTTGAATCTTATTTGTAGCTGCTGAATGTTGTGGCTTTGAACTCCCTGATCTCAGGGGTGAGAAGGGGTGTAGTTAACCACATTTTCTTTCTCGTAGCTACTGGAAGAAAAGTGCTGTGGGAAACTGGAGCACATCAACTTTCCCATATTTCAGCCGAGCACACCTGATCCGGCGCCCGCTCGGGATGAGTCCTCGCCTGCCCCTCCAGAGGGCGAGATTGAGAAACTCAAAGAGAAAGAACCTCAGACTCAGGGAGAGAGCACAGGCCTGAGCTTAGCCCTCAGCCTGGGCCAGTCCACGGGCAGCCTGGGCACTTACCCCCCCGATGCCCAGGGTGGAGGGGACAATGCAGAGAGTCACGGCCAGAGCGGGGACTCCAAAAGTGAGAAGAGGCCGAGCCTGGTGGATCGCCAGGCGTCCACTGTCGAGTACCTCCCGGGGATGCTCCATTCCAACTGCCCCAAAGGCCTCCTGCCCAAGTTCTCCAGCTGGTCACTGGTTAAGCTGGGGCCTGCTAAGGCTTATAACTTCCACACTGGCTTAGATCAACAAGGCTTTATCCCGGGAACAAACTACTTAATGCCTTGGGACATCGTCATCAGGACGAGAACCGAAGACGAAGGAGACTTGGATACCAATTCCTGGCCTGCACCCAACAAGGCTGTTCCTGGAAAAAGGAGCGCGGTCGTGATGGGAAGAGGGAGGCGGAGAGACGACATCGCCCGAGCTTTCGTGGGGTTTGAGTACGAAGACGCCCGTGGGAGGAGGTTCATGTGTTCGGGGCCTGATAAAGTCATGAAGGTGATGGGAGGGGGGCCAAAGGAATCTGCCATCAAAGCCCTCAATTCCGACATGCCCCTGTACATCCTGTCCTCCACCCAGGGGCGAGGCCTCAAACCGCACTACGCCCAGTTCATGAGGCTCTTTGTGGTGGTTCCTGATGCTCCGCTGCAGATCACGTTAACGCCTCAGGTAAGGCTGGAAGAGGGAATCTGGGAACAGCAAAGGCAGGGGTGGCTGTGGCAGCATTGATGCAGGACTGGAAGGCGTGAGGGTGACAGGGAAACGGTGTCAAGAAACTCCGACTCAAACCAACTTCAGCCAAGTTCTCTAAGGCAGTAAAGACCAAAATTATCTGGTTTAAACTCAAGTTTTTAAAGTTCAAGGTTGGCTTATGCCAGCTTTATATTTTGCATGAAGTAAGTTTAAAGAAAGTGTTTTATCAAAGATGAGTTGTTGGCATTCCCTACTGTAATGATGGCTTTTTTTAAAAAAAAGAAGATAACAAGTGAGTAATGGCTGTGTAAGGATGAATTTATCATTTTAAATGTCATGGAGAAAAAGCAGTGACTCATGGCTGAGATTAATTATTATTAGTGACAGTTTGAATTCGGGAGGTGAAAAAGTGTTGGGGTTTTTTTTTTAACTGGAGATTTTGTCACCGTTTTCAAATGCATATTTAAAACATGGAGAAAAACTCCATTTGCACTTTTTTACTGTTTAAGGTAGTAATGATGTTTGATTATCTACTTTTGATTTTAGGTTCAGCCAGGGCCACCACCCTGTCCTGTATTTTACCCTGAGAAGCAGGAAATTACCCTTCCCTCTGATGGACTGTGGGTGCTCAGGTTTCCTTACGCCTACGTGACGGAACGTGGACCCTGCTTTCCTCCCAAAGAAAGCCAACAGTTAATGAGCTACAAAGTTCTCCGGGGAATACTGAAAGCAGTTACACAATAAGAGTTGTCCTGGTAGATTTGGTTTAGGTTAAAAAGACCCATCTTCAATCCAATTCCTGGATTTTGGTTCGAGTTGCCCAAGAGGTGTCACTGCGATCGTGTGAAGCCCCCACTGTATCTCACTGGAACACAGACTGAAAATAAAGTCTGATAGCAAAGCAGAAAAAGGAATCTGAGACGTGTAAATTTTCCATTTATTAAGTTTTCATATGTAAAAAATAAATGCTGGTTTTCATAAAGTAGTGATCCTGTATTACTAGATGTTTTGATGATAGTGCTTTTCCCCATCCTATCTTTGTTTAAAAATTCCCATCCTATCTATGTTTAAAAATTAGCATTGCCTGAAATCAAGAGCTTCCTGTGTCATATTGAGTCAATGATGAGCAGAATTTTTCTCTTCTTCTAAACAAGCTATTTGTATGCAGGCAATAGATGCTTTTAATGTGATAATGGGAGAAATAATTTGTCTTTAAAAAAAGGTACTGCAGTTCTGATGTGTACTAACAGCCAGAAACCACTTACCTATATCAGGTTATACACTATTTGTATTCATCAATTAGATTTTGTTAAAAGGCCAACTTAATTTCATATTTTGGATTAACAGATCTCTTTGGAAACTGAACCTGCTTGTAAATTTTTGGAAAATGCAGAGGTAAATAAGCTGGTTCTCTATAAAAAACTGCGGCTTAACTGTCTCTATAGCCTGACTTGTAGTGATTAAACAGACTTTTGGTTGCTAAAAGGATGGGTTTGGTGCAGTTTGAACCTCAAATTGAGGGAGTTTGGTTAATTGTAGAACACTACATGATGTATTGAAGGGTAACTTAAATCCTGTGAACATCACTGTGGCTGTCAGTGCCAAAAAATTACCCACAGTAAATCAGCTTGTAACTTTTGCTGAGGTAAAATGTACTAGCGACAGCGCCTGTATGCTGAGACCTAATTTAATTTCTAGAATATTTGTTTCTAATTAGCATGTGCACAAAATTTAATTTGCCAGTTTGCTATAGTACAATAATTATACTGCATGACCGGATTCGAGACCTGGTTTCTGCTTGGAAGATGACATCTCTGAGGGGCTGGGTGTGGGAAATGCATCCCTCCCCTTCGGAGTATGAAAACTCTGAGGAGCCGAGTATGGAAAATGCATCCCTTCGTTTGGAATATGGCATCTCTGAGGGGTTGGGTGGGGAAAACACATCCCTCCCACTCAGAATATGACATATTTGAGGGGCTGGGTGTGGGAAATGCATCCCTCCTGTTAGGACTGTGACATTAGGGGTTGAACTAGATGATGTTTAGAGATCCCTTCCTGCCCAAACCATTCTATGATTCCGTGATCTCTGAGGGGCTGGGTGAGGGAATTGTATCCTTCGCATTCTGAATAGGACAACTCTGAGGGGCTGGGTTGGGAAAACCCATCCCTCCCGTTCAGAATATGACATTAGGGGTTGGGCTGGATGATCTGTGAAGGTTCCTTCCAACCCAAACCGTTCTATGATTCTGTGATTTCTGAGGGGCTGGGTGGGGAAAGCGCACCCCTCCTGTCTGGAATATGACATCTCTGAGAGACTGGGGTGGGGAAAAACACATCCCTCCTGTTTGGAATAAAACATCTCTGAGGGGCTGGGCGTGGGAAATGCATCCCTCCCGTTGGGAATACAGTAGGGGTTGGACTAGATGATGTTCAGAGATCTCTTCCCACATAAACCGTTCTATGATCTCTGAGGGGCTGAGTGGGGAAAATGCACCCCTCCTGTTTGGAATACGACATCTCTGAGGGGCTGGGTGGGGAAATCACATCCCTCCGCCTGCGAGGAGGGAGCAGCGGCAGCGAGGTGGGAAATCGAAGCGTGTAACTGAGAACTGCCCACACCATTTGCCAAG